TATATATATATCTTAAATTTTATTCAAATTATTTGTCACATTAGGGCCAGGGGATTTAGCTCAATGACACCCATGCCTGCCTTGAAAGTGTGAGGTTCTGAGTTTGATCCCTGGTACTGGAAAAAGAAATTATTCAACATATCAATCAAGTGCCCATTAATATCTTTCAATGCCCAAACATGCGACCTTTAGTTTACACTTATTTTGAAGAAGGCTCCAGTAGCTCACTCAGAGGGGGTACTTAGCAAACAAATATTTAGAGTACTTCCATATCTGAAAATGTATTCTGATCTTATTTCTGATTGATAACTTAGGTGGAAATTCATTTTCCCACAACGCTGTAAATGCATTGTTCCATTGCTCACTTCTACTTCCAATGCTATTATTGAACTGTCTTTCTAGTTCCCATTCCTCTGTAGCTGACCTGTTCTTTTTTCTAGAATCTTGCCATCATCCCTAGTAGTCTGAAATCCCACAATGAGTCTTTTTTCATAGATTGTATTAAATATTAGGGGACTTTTCAATCTTACCTGCAACTTTTTTATTTCTTTGCTAATGTCCTCCTTTTCATTTTCTAAATTCCCTTTTTATGAATTCTTGTCAATAGGGTACTATAACATCTTATTCTCTAAATTTATTGTCTTTATCATACTGACCATCTGCATCTTTCTATCACTGAAACAAAGGTTCTCAACATGGAGAATAGGAGAGGTTCACTTCTCTGCCCCAGAGGATGTGGAACAATGTATGGAGCTACTTTCGGATGTCATAACAAAGAAGAGGGGTCGTCCTGGTAAATCAAGGCCAAGGTTGTTGCTTATCATTTCACAATGCGCAGAACAGCTTCTACCACAAAGAATTCCTCACCTCAAATGTCAGTTGTGCCAAGATTGATAAATCTCAGACCAGAAGAATTCCTTAACTTTATATTCTAAGCTTTCTAGTAGTTTCTATTTCAAAGTTTTAATTTACAATGATTCCCATTTTTATTAGCCTTTTTGCTATTTAAAAAACAAAACTCTTTCAAAGGATAAACTCCCATCTCCAGAAAAGAAACAGCTGACCTTACAGAGGGATCACATCGACGGTGGTATCTTCAGTGCATTGTGAAGACTGTAAGAGGTGGCAAAGGATCCAGGGGTTCAAAGGCTTGAATTTGAGGGTAACTCTCCTTCTCCTTGATGTCCCATCACTGCTTGCACAGTGCACTACACCTCCAGGTGCCTACAGACATCAGGTTAGCCCACTCTCGCTTTGCCAAGCCAATTATCTCTATTAGCAGCTCTGACTTCCAAAGTTTATTAAATTATTTGCCTCTCTGCCTTAAAAAGAGGGAAAATGCAAAAATTCTTTTAAATGAAGCAAATTTTTTCAAATGAATGTGTTTCCTAAATCTCTCAAACTTCTAAATGGAGCCAGTTATTCTCTTTTTCCTTGTAACATAATATTTTAAACTCTTGGGTACCATCATTTTAGTGCTGTTTTGCA